GGTTGCGAGGAAGTTTCGGAGTAAATTGGGACACATAGTCTGAAGGTTGGAAACTTAAGTTGAAAGAGTTGATCGGAGTTTGACTTTTATGTAGACAACTTCGAAATAAAGTTTTGATGGTTCCAATAGCTCGTATGGTGATTTTGACTTGGGCTTAAGTCCAATTGTGGATTTGGTGGTTCGTAGGTTGATTTAGTGCTTTTCGCGAAAGTTAGAAAGTTGAAGTTTTGGAAGTTTGTAGGTTTGACCAGGAGTTGACTTTATTGATATCAAGTTTGGATTGTGGTTCCGGGAGTTAGAATAGGTCCGTTGTGTCACTTGAGACTTGCATGTAAAATTTAAGGTCATTTCGGGTTGATTTGATATGGTTCGGCATGAGTTTTAGAAGTTGAAAATACATTAGTTCCTTAGGCTTGAATCGTAGTGCGATTCGTGATTTTGAAATTGTTTTATTTGATTTGAGGCTTTGAGTAGATTCGTATTATGTCTTGGGATTGGTTGGAATGATTGGACGGGGTCCGGGGTGTGTTTTGGATAGTTTTCGGATTCATTTTCGGACTTAGTACATTATTGCTGTTTTTCTGATCTGTGGCGCTTTCGCACCTGCGAAGGGATGGCCGCATGTGTAGGTCCGCAAATGCTTACATGGAGCTGCAATAGCGAATCTAGGCAGGTTGTGCTCGGTTTGCAGATGTAGAGAATTTTTCGCAAAAGCAGAAGCGCTTCTGTGATGAGGTTTCTGCAGAGGCGGGTCCGCAGGTGCGAGGGTGAGGCCGTAAATGCGGAAGGTCGAAAGCTGAGTTGGAATTGGAGTTGGGGATGACAAGAAAATATGAAATTAGAGTCAACCGATGTAGTTGGAAAGATGGTCGAAAATGACTCTAGTTAGAGGGAAAAAGAGGATGTCAAAATCCGGAAAAAGTGGCCATTTGAAGGCTTGATTGCACATTCTAAGCATTTTTCAACTTTGAAATTTCATGGTGATATGGGAAGTAAGCTGTGTGAGTCCATATGGGAGTGTAAAGAATAAAGACAAGAGCCATACATCCTACAATTTGCATATTTACAAACGCAAAATGACATCCCTCCAAAGAGAGCCAAGAAATGCAAAGCGAAGAAAATGATGTTTGGCTTGAGCATTTACTTATCACCCCCCGTCGCTCGTGGTCACAAGCTTGATTCCAAGGTAGGTGCCCAATACATATCTTCCAAGTGGAGAGAAAAGTGGTAAAATTGATTCACGTCGTGTCGCAACGTTAAATCGGACGTTTGTTGGGAGGCAACCCAACTTTACTGCTTTTTTTTTTTTTTTAATTTCTTTATATTTTTTAATTTATTATTCTTGTAATGTCATTTTGTTTTGTTTATTTATTTATTTTGTAGGTGTATGAACATGGAACATAAATCCATTGGAAGAAAGCAAAAACAAACAAAATGGTTTGAACTAAGTGTGAGGTACCCACATGAAGAATCAGGCTTGGGAGGAGTCTGAATATCCCATGAGTTGCTGATGCTTCGGCCTTTGGCCTACCAGGGAGTTTCTTTCACCCTCTTGTTATTTATGGTGTGCATTGGGGACAATGCATAATTTTAAGTGTGGGGTGAGGAGATTGTCTGAGTGATTTTCTAAGATATTTTAATATGTTATTTTAACAAAATAAAAAAATTAGACTTTTCCTGACGATTGATCTCTTGTACAGTTTTCTTGAGGGATTAAAGTACAATAAAAAAATAATTCCAAAAATAGTTTTTTTAGTTAGTCGTAGTAATAATCCCTCTTGATTTTTCTTTTGGCACCGGTTCTTTTCCAAGGGATGTAACTTGAATTAGGTAGTTTTTATTTTTTTCATGTTTTAGGAAACCGAGGGAAGAAAACTTGAGTGCTCTTATGTGCCTTTGACCTGTTTGATATCAGCATACTTAGGCCTTAGCATGCAAATTATCTTCCTAACATGTTTTGATGGAAATTGATGACGTGAAAGAATGAATAGCCTGTCTGTAACGCTTTCTCTCAGTTAGTTGACTCATTATTCATGTAGTGCTTTATTGCTTAATACTTTTTGACTTTGTGATTACTTTGCTTAAATTTGAGAGTTGGAATGAAACCGTCCCGACTGGAGTCATGTGCATCATGTGATGTGAGGTTTTGATCATATTCTGTGCTATCTTGTGTTTGTCTAGAACTTGTCATGTGTGTTAGTCGAAGCGACATAAGTAAGCTTTTGAGTCTAGGAGATGAGGTAGGCGTTTCTTTGATTGTCCATTGAGCTATTATTCCACCATAAATAAAATTATCCTTAGATAGCCTATTTGAGCCTATAAGCTTTTTCTTTGGCACCCACATTACAAGTTGATTCCCATTTTGTTCTTAATTAAATCTTTTCGAACCTTTACGTCCGAAAGCACTTAAGTCGCTAGAAGAGTAAGGTGAGAGTTGGGTAGCTTTTGAGTGGAAAGACCAAAAGGTGCATGGATGTTTGGAAGATCATTAGTCGGGCAACCTAAATTTATGGAGAGTGTTGAAAAAAAAGAGAAAAAAAATATATATAGAAAATACACCTCCTATTCATCGTGATCTGGGATAGTGAATGCATAGTTGTGCTTAAAGAAGAAGGGCCAAGTTGTATATGGTTTCGTGGCATTACTAGATTTGGTCATGAAAAGTCTGTATTTGAAAGTTAAGTGTAGTGTATTAAAGTGCTTAGGAGGGTTAGTCACTATACCTAAATATATCTTACACGTCCCTTAGCCTACATTACAACCCGTAAAGGCCTAATTGATCTTAGACTTTACGAGCTTAGATTAGTGAGGATATACACTACGGGCAAGCCTATGTACAACTATGGAATGCACATGAATTTCTTTGTTAGAGTGAGTGGTTCTTTATTCATATATGTGATGTCCTTAAATTATATTCGAATGCATATTTGAATGTGTGGACGAAATATCCTCTTATTCTTTGGTGAGGCACATGATTCCGTGCGGATAAGTGACGTTATTAAACATCTTTGGTTGGGTGAGTGCATGAGTTGAGAGTGCTTATTGGCGATGAGTCGGTCTTTGAGGTTGGATGATTATGGGTAGATTGTTTGAGTATTTTTAATTTGTCATTTATATTCCGGCATGTGAAAGTTGGGAAAGGTATGAATGCGTATGCAAGGGCTTAATTGTTGATATCAACCCTAGTCATAAGTGTAGTGTGTTGAATTACCAAAGGTTCCTCCATTGTATGATGTCTTGCATGCATTGTTCGGTTAGCAAGGTTTTAGGTTGCTCGAGGACAAGCAAGAGCTTAAGTGTGGGGTGGTGATGTTAGGCTAAAGATCCATATTTTGCATGTAATTTGCCTTGCATTGTACCTCAATCTTGTTAACTTTGGTGTAAATATTTGTGACACGAGCTTAATAATGGTGTTTATATATGTAGGAGTCAATTTGAAGTGATTTGGTAAGCTTGCATGCAAAGTGAAGTAAAAACAGAAGCATTTGGAGGGAGTATAATTTTGGTACCCAGGTTGGCACCAGGCACCAACTAAAACGCCAATGGCAAAATATCACAGAAGTGGAAAAATTCAGTGTCCAGGTTGGCGCCAGGCGCCAAGCGAGATGGCTAACGGCGAATTTCATCCTAATTCAGCAAGGACATGGCAGTTTCGACCCTACACGCCCCCAACATGTATAAAAGGGGTTCTAAACCTATTTCTTGGGGGTTAGACATTATTGAAGAGACAAGAAGGCTACGACAATACTTGGAGGCGACGAATCACAAGAATTTTCTGTTTCGTTCTTCCTTAATCTGTATTTTAATGCCTTCAATTATTATCATGATTGTTAGTATGGTTATAAGTAGCTAAACTTTCTAATCGAAGGTTTGATGGAACCTATTGGAGGATGATTTTCCACTACGTTTAATATAAATTTGCCTTGATTTCTCTACTTGTTCAACTATATTTTCGTTGTTGTTGATTGAAGGGCCCACAATTGATTGTGCCTAATTAGTGTGTATTGCTTAAAAAAGGGTACCCATTTATGTAGTTGTTGACCAACATCACTCCTAACGTATATGAATAATCAATACGGAGGGTTTAAAGGTGAGATTAAGAATAACGAAACCTTGGTGCGATCTTAGTGAGTGGTAAACTAGTGCCAGCTAGCGTAGTTCGAAAGAATACGTCTAGTAAATTGTTGTATTTGCTCGAAAAAGAATTACGACACCTAAAGTGTTCACGATCGATAGAGAATATCTAGGCGAATTTATATGAGACGTGGCAGGGAGGATTCCGACGAGAGGGGAAATCGTAACCCTAGACCTTTCCAATCTTGTCTACAACATTTGCCTTGATAGTATTAAAATTACAGCTTTTTAATTACCTTGCCTTTAGTAAACACTCAAAACATTATTTACCATTTCTAAAGGTTGAGTACTTGAATTCTTGCGGAACTAGTGGTTAAGATTAGTAGGTTAATTCCCTATGGGATTCGACTCCGGACTTGTAAACCAGATTATATTTGTAAGGACCGCCAAACTTCTTAGGAGGCATTGTTGGACGTGATCACTTCTCCTCTCATCTTCTTAAAAGAAATGTTTAATATTCTTCAAGAATCAGTGAAAGGTGATGAGTGTTATTGGAGTTTAGAAGATCAGAAATGAAATTTCAATTCTTTTTATTAAGCAAAACAAATGTGATTGGTGGAAGAGCTTGTTCAAAGGCATACCAGAGAATGTTTTCACATTCGTATGAAAGATTAGAACTATTGTTGGAGTTTTTGGATTTCTTGGGGCTTTATTGTTTGGTCAATGCTTAAAATGAAAATTCGATTTCAAAGGTTCAAAACTTGTATTCAGATCACTATGAAAGAATTAGTAAACAACTGACAGATTTTCTAAAAATCAATGCATTTCAATAGAATTCTGGTGACATTGCTTTCCAAACCCTAGAAACTGACAGTAATTTATCAGCTCAAGTAATTGTGTACAGAGCAAGGCAAAAAGATTCTTACTAGTACTAAAAAACTTTTCCTAGAATAAAATTAGCAAAATATATATTAAGAAAATAAACAAAATCTCATCCAAGATGAGAAGGAAAAATGGATGCCATCTCTTCTCAACCTGAATCTACAAACTGTAGTACTGCCCGATCCAGTACATACCCCTATTTACTTTTTCTCCAAACCCTCTTCTTATTCCTCATGAAGAGGCAGAGCAAAAGATAAATAAAATAAAAAGAAAGAAAACATAAATGAACAAATAAAGAGATTAAAAAAAAAAACTAAAAAGGAGGGAAAAAAACATCTTACATTGATAAATGGCTAAAGAAATGCATGTGCTAAAATATCCAAATCAGACGGTGGACAACTGCAAGCATGAGCGTGCCAGAAGGTGATATGTGGCATTCCTATTTAATTTGCAGCTGTTAGAAATGCCATTGATGAAGCTTTCCCGTTTTCTTCGAGGAAATTATCTAGCACAGGCTGCACAGGTAAAAGCTTTCTGTAAATTTGGCATACAAAAGAGAAGGATTGGTTATAAGCAGCGAAATCATGCACATAGATGAAGGAAATTCCGAGCTGAAGTTTCTGAGACATCTAGATTGTGTACACCAAGCATAGAAAAGCTCTGTAGGTTAGTTTAGTTTTTCAATGGGTAGCTCAATTCTTGATCAGCTCACAGGTACTAAAGAAATTGTGCCTCAAGTGAAAAGAAGCAGAGAACATATCCATTAACAGACCAAACAGTCACAAATCTTCAGTATCTTGTGGCTCTCAAATGATGAGGCAACTCTCAACCTTCAGCTCATCCATTGGCCTTGAAATTTGTAGATGAACTGTTTAGCACTATTTTCTCATGCCTAACTCTACAGGTTCAGAACTTATCAATTATCATCAAGCACCAACTAATGCTTTGTGGTGGCCAATTATCTCAACTTAAATTCTCTCAGCTCCCACACTTGGGAAAGAAACAATGTACATGACCGTAAGTTTACGCTATAGTTTTCTTATAAGCTGAAGATAATTGGTATACAGAAAAGAGAAGCATAACTGCCAGCTGTCAGGTTAAAGCAGGAATGCTCTTCCAGCATGGTAATCCAAATTGCAAAAAGAACAAAATTTCAGCATTCTCCAAAAATAGGATAAGAAGTTATGGAGGAACCAGCAAAAGATATTCACCGAACACTGGAAGCCTTGCACAATACTTATCAAGAATATTTTTGGCAGTAACTTAGGCTTAGTGAGTAGAAGATTTGTCTTTTCTCTTTCAAGAAATTTTGCTTAACTTTGCAATCCACCATTGTTTGTTGTATGCAGATCAGAGATGTCTTTAAGCTCATTGTATATCACTATCTCTTATTGCGTTAACCTATAACATAGGATCTCAAACTAACTAGTATTACTGTCAAAGTGGGTGACCATCTCATCTAAAAGCTTAAGCTGTTACAGAGAACATACTTTTATTTACTTAATTATGTCTTCAACACACCTCCTCACGTGCAGGCTTGAATCTTTTTTACGAGCCAAACACGTAAAAATTCTTTTTGATATTTGGTGGTGGAGAGACTCGAACCCAGAAACTCTTCCTGGTTCTGATACCATGTTGAAGTGTGTGACCATCTCATCTAAAAGCTTAAGCCGTAAGGGAGAACACACTTTTATTTACTTAATTATGTCTTCAACAATTACTTTATTTCAATAGTGTCCTCTAGGTATTTTACATCAAAGCAAGCATCTGGATTGCTCAAGTATAATAGATGATATTTCTTCATTGAACTACTTCTCAGGTTTATTTAGTCCATTAATAGACATTTATTAGCAACTTAGTCAGAAATTAACCTAGCATCATTCAGCTGTTTCTTCAAGCATGTCTGATGGCAATTTCTCCACATTTATTTAGGAAATCTAGCCAGTCCAGGGAGTCTCTTTTTGTTTGTGGTTAGGTCAGCCCGAGGTTAACTCCGTGTAATCTCTATCACTTAAGCTCTTTTCAGTGTTTGGCAAGTTGTAAAAGTGCTTAAAACAAGCCAAAAGCCATAAGCTGGGCAACCCCAACGCTTTTTGGCTTAAAAGTTGTTTTTGTTTGACCAATGATTTTACCTTTTTTATTCCTTACACTTTTCCATAATTTCCAAAAGAACCCTACATAACGAAAGGCCCCAACTCTACTAGTTTCGTTTCTTCTTCATTCCTCCACAAGTTTTCATCTTTGACTTCCATGGCTATCTCTATGGCATAAACCAGTGGTGTGTGTAACCTATCTTCACACTGTTTTTGTTTTCTGTGCGTTAGTTAGAAAGCAACCATCATATAGAGTATTCGTCTTTTCGTTGATATTCTTGAAACTCTCAAAAAGTTAAAGCTTCTATAAGGATCTCATTTTATTTATGCAATCAAAAAAGATAATTGTGCTAGTTGAGATTTGGTGGAGCTTTTGAAATTACGATCGTTCAATGCAATTTCAGATGGTCTTCAAAGGGACACGGATTCAGGATTGAGTCCCTTTTTTTTAAAAAAAAAAAATCCTCCTTTGTTAGTAGCAAGTTTCACAAATAATTTTTCTTTTAGTTTTCTTGAAAATCTTTTTTTTTTTTTTTTTTTT